TGATCTTGTATGGATTCTTGTCCTTGTTTGGATTTTTGTCTTTGTATGAATTACCGTTTGTTCACCTCTATTCTTGAAGTGGTAGTGTTTTTCTTTAATCAATCCAAGAAGCCACCAACTTTTGGTATGAAATCGAAACTTTAAATGGTTTATTATACTTTCATGGCATGTAAATAACGTTTAATTCTTTATAAGGATCGTGGGCTTTAGGTTTTAATTAAAAAAAATTAATTTCTACTATGTTTTGCCTTGATTAAATCCTAACACAACATGCCTGTAGGCTGTTCATAGGCTACTCGTAAACTACCTCCCAACCTCTACCACTCTTTCCACCAACCACAAATGTCTCACCAACAGCCTCTAATCCTACATCATCCTTCTAAACGCCCTTCAATTTGCCTAAAAAGCAACCCAAACACGCGCCATCCCACTCCATTCCCTAGCCAGTACACACTGTTGATTTGCGCGAGAAGGTTGGTGGCGACAGGGAAGGCCAATGATGTCAAATTCCAACCAAATCAACTAGAAAGGTGACGTGATCGGCTGGCCAATTGGAGGGGTGGAGGATTTGGGGCCACTGGGGGGGGGAAGAGAGAAAAGAAGAAGAAGAAGAAGAAGAGAGAAGAGTATTTTCATCTTCACAATGAATATCATTGTATTTAACAGGAATTATTAACAGAATATAACGTTTGGTAATAAAGTTGTATTGTTTCAAAGCTTGGATAGAAAAGTGTCATTAGGCCGTTATTTGGGTAGGAAAATAATCGTTTACTCTTATTATTATTGCAAGTTGGTAGTGCCAAGACGACTGCAGTCACATGCCAAATTCTCCAAGTTTTCCCGTGGACCTTTACGAAATTTATATTATGAGATATTTCCTTGCACCATATCAGTAATTTTAGAATAATTTTTTTTCTTTCCACTGCATCTCATCCTGTTTTTTGTTACATTAAAATTCTTCTTGGTAAGTTAAAGACAACATATAATGTTAGAGAATAAGATTCTTATGACATTATTTCTAAGTTTTGGCACTTGTGATAACCTTTAATTTCTACCTTTTTTTCCTTTCAATCCATTGACTATCACTCTTTATTCCATTGTCCATTTCTTCGCTATGCTTCATTTTATTGATATGAACTATCACACAATAACATTTGAGTTTATGTTGTTATTAAAACCTCTAAGTCTAATAAACTTTACAATAAACCGTTTACAAAGTAGTAAATAATTATATACATTTTTTTTATTGAAATTACAATTTCAATATCAAGGATAAAATATGTCGACTTAGAAAACACTAACCATGTTTACTTGTTGGACTTCTATTGAAAGGGAAAGGGAAATGGATAAGCTAAGAGATTCAAATCGTTAATAAATAATAGAATTGAATATGATTCCATTTGTTGATGCTTGATTTTGACACCAACGACTTCACACGTGTAAAGTGCTAAGAAGTCACACGTGAGCAGATTATAGTAAATGGGTGAGGTATTATTTACTCAGTAGCTTGCAAAGACGTAAGAAATAAAGGAGACAGTAAGATTTTTATAGTGGTTCAGATGCTTACAGTGAATCCTACATTCACTGTGTTCTTTTATATAAGTATGTTTCTAGTCGTTAGCCAAGATTACAAGAGGTCGCGAACTGTGATCTAGTATTACAAGTGCTTGGTATTCTAAATATTCTTAGAGAATGTCAAGCTAGTCTCTTTCCAGTAGTGTGTCTTTTTTATTTTCTTTGTTGAATTCAAGAGTGTTTGACCCCGATTTTATGAAGGGGAGCTGCCTATTTATACCTGCTGTGTTCAAAGTAATGATTACACTTTTGCAGGTGGCTTGGTGCCGTGCAGATCTCTCTTGTCATTCCATTAGTTGAGACTCAAAAAATATCCTTAAATTAAATAAGGTTTGGACAAGTATGCGAACTAAATTCATTAATAAACATATGTTTGAGTCAGTTGGGTTGTTGACAACTATATTCCTTTTGCCTTTGGAGACGTGACCAGCTCCGAACGGTGAAAAGTCTTCCTAAACTCTGATTGGTGCTCTATGACGTCAACATGGGTAAGCCCTTATTTTAGGCATAACACCGTTCTTTACTTGTCAACAAAAGAATCAAAACCATAGCTGTAAAATTATTAGAAAATAAGTCAACAACATCCAACCAATAGGGTCAAAAAGTAATTTTTTTTGGATTTCTTACCCATAGAATCAGGATTCCTTTTGCGAAATTGGGTTTCCATGGAATCCTAGTTCTTTACTTAACTCCACCGAGTAAAAAAGGGAATTCCATTATGGTTTCAATTCCAATATGTAAGGCTCCATTTGGTACATAGTTTGGGAATACTATTCTAGTATTCCCAATAAAGTTAAACACAAAATTTGTGTTTGGTTCACTATTATCAAAATATTATTCTAAATTAATCAATTTCTTTTAAACCCCATAAATTTCTTAATCTAACTAAATAACCCTGATTTAAAAAAAAAATTGACAAAAATACCCCAACAACCCACATTTACCAGATTCTGGCCACCACTGCTGGAAGCTGGCCGGAATCTGGTGTAATGGCTCACTACCGGCTGAATCTGACCGGTAGTGCGTCGATCGAGCCTTTTCGGATTGATCCACGGGCCAGATCTACTGCCAAAGATCTGGCTATCAATGGCCAGATCTTTGGCCATAGATCTGGCTATCAATGGCCAGATCTTTGGCCGTAGATAGTCGTCAACGACGACCAAGATATGGTCGTCATTGACCATCAACGACAGCCGTAACAGCCAAATCTTTGGTCGTAGTCAGTCATCAACGACAACCAAGATATGGTCATTGTTGACCATCAACGATGGTCGTATCTTTGACCCTCGTTGACGACCAAATACAGTCAGAAAAGGCCATATTGGCGCATGACCAGCAAGATCCAACTGGTCATACATCGATATGGCGACTCTGACCACCCTCTGACGGTGGTGGCTGGTTGTCCGTATTTAATGAGTGGGTTAGGAGTGTTTTTGTTAACTTTGAATATTTTATTATAGGGGTGTTTAGTAAATAAACAAACATAGTGGGTATTTTGTTAATTTTTAAAATTCTACATCGTAATTCCCACCCAATTTAACTTTTTTTCAAAATATTATTCTAAAAACTATCAAATAATGAACCAAACGAACCCTAAAACTTCTTTAATAGTTTTTGGTAATTTTGAAGGCCCACTGAAATGTGGGGCTTTAGGCCGGGATGGAGGGAGGGGGGTCAAGGAGGGCTTGTTGACCCTTTTTAAGTTTTAAATTTTTTTGATCAGTTTTACAAATTTGCCCCTAAATAAAAAGTAAATTACAAAAAAACTTTAATCCATCAACTAAATTAAACTTTCATTTTTCTTTTTGGCTATCAAAACTAAACCCGTTTCTCTACTTCTCTTACTCATGCTTTCTCTATTGCCCATAGCTGATTCAACAACCCAAGTTTCAAATTTTTTCCTAAATTTCTAATTTTTTATCCACACAAATGCATTTTTCTCCCACCTATCAAGCCGATAAGTCTTTTTTTTCCTTCACTTTGTCAGGTAATATTAATACACTTTATATTTGTACTATTTCATTTTGAAAGTTTATGGTTAAATTATAGATTAAGATTTAGGAAGATGAAATTTCCATTGGGACCACAAATTGTATCAATTTTTTTTTTTTTTTTTATTTGTGATGATATATTGAAGTTAGAGGAAGCAAGAAGATATTTTTTAAAATTATTTTGGAGTTGGTTTTGGGATCACTAACATGTATGGGCCGATTTTGTGTTGTTTTTTTGACAGAGAAGTTAGGTTCTTGGGACCATATTGTTTTACCCATTTTTACATTTGTTATAAAAAAGTGTTTGATTCAAATAAGAGTTAACATTAATGGTTTTACAAGTGTTATGAAAAAAGTATATTTAATTGTACACGTGTTTAGTTATTTGAATAGATTTTTAACACATATCAATTCAATTTTAGCTAATTTATATAATATAGGATCTATTTCAATTCAATTTCTATTATTTTATAAAGTATAAATATATTAATTAATGAAAATTTTATAAATATATAATTTATATTTATTTTAATTCAAACTTGTATTGATTTTTTAATTTTGCCCGCGTCATCCCTCCCTAACTTTAGGTGTAGGACATGATAAGCTTGAAAATGTATGCTAAACTTGTAGCCTAGCCTTGTGACAAAAGACAACAGATGTTAATAAATGTAAAACCAAAATTATTAATGGAAATATATTGAATGATTGCATATGAACATAATGAGTATAAAAATTGAACGAAAAAGAATGTTGACACTATTGTCGCAAAATTACAACTATTGCAATAAAACAATTCCTATTTTACTACAAATTTAATTAATTAAAATGAAGACAAAATCATAACAATAATCACGCCACCAACATTTCCCTTGCTTCACATGCCTTGTCCCTTCTACACAATTATTTTGAGGAGGAGATAAATTCATTTTTAGTCCTTGTGGTTTCATTTTACTACATTTTAATCCAGTCATTTCAAATATTATTTTTGTAGATCAAGCTTTCGTACGTATTATCTATAACACCTCATTCTTTCTGGATCCATCTATGCTATAGTATAGACTATATAGATCTGATCACCACTTTCCCATCAAGCATCATAGTTTGGTCTGAAAATACGTTTTATTTATTTTTTATTTTTTAATTTCACTTTTTTGTGTTATTTTCCGGTATATCTGTGTCCTCAAATATAATAATTTAATAATAAAGATAAACATAGAAAGTCTAGTTAAATTTTGACCCACGTGACAAAAACTCACATAAAATTACCATAGCACCCATACCAATTCCACGTGCCCATCTGTATTTAGATCAGCCCACTGGAACGAAGTTGTGGCAAACACATCTGACCCAAACCCAGCAAGAAAGCGGACCCCACAGTCTCCACCAATAATTGATAATTCGCCTAATCCTCTCTGTACTAAAGCTGGCGCCACTGTCTCCTTCTTCTACCCTAAATCCTTAAACCCTAACAGACATTCACGCATTTTTCATTTCAATTCATTTCTTATTCTTCATTCTTTTATTTCAATAACCAACTTTTTTATTTTTTTTTCAATTACTCCCTTCCCCGCCCCCAAATTATGTTTCTCCCCCTTCTCCTACTCTCCTTTCTCACTCTCTCAATGGCCACTGCCACTGCTGCCGACGACGAATCAATCTACCAGATCCTCAAGGCCCACGGGCTCCCCATGGGCCTGCTCCCCAAAGGGATCAGCCAATTCAGCTTCGACAATAGGGGGCGTTTCGAGGTCTTCTTGGATCAAGCGTGCAATGCCAAATTCGAAAGCGAATTGCACTATGATAGGAACGTTTCCGGCACTTTAAGCTACGGTCAGATCGGGTCGTTGTCGGGTATTTCCGCCCAGGAGTTGTTCTTGTGGTTCCCCGTTAAGGCGATTCGGGTCGATATCCCGAGTTCGGGTCTTATTTACTTTGACGTTGGTGTTGTTTTTAAGCAATTCTCGTTGTCTTTGTTTGAAACGCCCAGAGATTGTATGGCTGTACGGTCGGATAATGATGGTTTTGTTCGGGATGGGAAGCTTATTGCTCAAGCTCTGTTAAAGGTTTAAATTTGTTTAGTTTGTTTGTTTGAATATTTTTGAAAACAAAAACACAAAAACCAATAACGAAATGTCACCAAAAGGTGCCCTTAATATCTAAAGTATTAAACTTTTGGTCTGCAGCTTGATCAAGGAACTGTTGCAAGGGATGTTATTTAGATGATGGTGGAGAGAGTGATTGACATTTTGCACCGTAGCTCAATCAGCTAGCCATGGGTTCTCCGTTTCCCATTGTAAAAAAGAAAGCGGTTAGAGGCTGCTTTAGCAGATTCTATGCTTCAATTTTGTGTGGTTGCTTGCATTTTCTTATCCATAGATCCGAAGTTGCAGACTAGTTAAGCCAGCTCTTGTCTATGCGAGGAGGCCAGTGAATTTGAGAGAGAAAATTGAAATGAGGCTTATTCTTTGGATGATTAAGAGAGGCAGAACATAATTCAGTTGAAGTGATTTCAGGTGATAACTCTGCAAGATATAATTTTTTTCTTTTCAATTTTGTATGTTGAATTTATTGTATTATCAATACAAGGATGGATGGTATATTGAGTCTCTTTTTCTAGTATAAGTTTTAGGTCGAACGAGAGACACAAACGTATATGAATTGTGATATAAGAATTCAAATANTTGTATAACTCATAAGTCCTTAATTCTTCATATAAGGGCATTTTGGTCATTTCACACTAGACATAATTATTACTTAATTAATGCCATTAAATGCAATGAAGCCTACTCATCCTTGACTTTTTCAATGCTTATCCATAGGTAAAATAACCATTTTGCCCCTAAGCCTCTTTATGGATAGTTGATTCATACCATTCCAAATGAATTGACTATTTTGCCCTTAGTTAGATTTTATGCTTTTTAACATAAAATAAACATTTAAAGGACTATTTTGAGTTAGGAACATACCTTTGACATCTTGGGTATTACAGACTGGTTGCCAAAGGTGTCAAACAAATTCATGGCATTGACTATGAAGAAACCTTTTCGCCGGTTGCCATGATTAAATCCATCCGGATTATGCTTGCGATTGCTGCATATCATGACTATGAGATTTGGCAAATGGGTGTCAAAAAAGCTTTCCTCAATGGAAACCTTGAGGAGGATGTGTATATGACACAACTTGATAGTTTCGTTCTTGATGGGCAAGCTAATAAGGTATGCAAGTTGCAGAGATCCATTTATGGACTCAAGCAAGCCTCAAGGAGTTGGAACATTCATTTTGATGAAGCCGTAAAAGAATTCGGTTTTATCAAGAACGAAGATTAACCCTGTGTTTACAAGAAAGTGAGTGGAAGCGCAGTAGTATTCCTAGTGTTATATGTCGATGACATACTTCTGATCAGGAATGATATACCGAACTTGTTGTCGGTAAAGGATTGGTTATCCAAGTGCTTCTCCATGAAGGACTTAGGGGAAGCAACCTTGATCCTTGGAATATAGATCTATCATGATAGATCGCGTAGGTTGCTTGGTCTAAGTCAGAGTGCATATATTGACAAAGTATTGAAAAGATTCAATATGAAAGAATCCAAGAAGGGATTTCTTTCGATGTCACATGGTGTTTATCTCTCTAAGGAATTGTGTCCTAGAACACAAGATGAGAGAGATGGGATGAAGAGGATTCCATATGCATCAACAATTGGATCCATCATGTATACCATGCTATGTACTCAGATTGATGTCTCATGTGCTTTGAGCACTTGTAGTAGATATCAATCAGATCCAGGTGAGCGTCACTAGATGGCTGTCAAGATAAGTACCTAAAGAGGACTAAGGATATGTTCTTGGTTTATGGAGGGGAAGATGAGCTCACTGTAAGAGAATACAGTGATGCTATTTCCAAACAGGAAAAAGATGATTATAGTTCGCAATTTGGGATTACACATTTTGTCTCAATGTAACTGCAGTGAGCTGGAAGAGCTCGAATAAGTGTACTGCAGTGAATTCTACAATTGATGCTACGTATATTGCATTTTTGTTGTCGTGTAGGCGGTTTGGATAAAGAAGTTCATTACAGAACTTTATGTGGTTTCAAGCATTACTGATCCAGTATAGTTTTACTGTGATAAATATCGTGCCATTGTTGTGGCTGAGGAATCACGGTCTCACCAGTAATCCAAACACTTACTTAGTTGATTCAATCTGATCTGAGAGATCGATTGGAAAGGGAATGTGTAGACTTGCAAAATACCTACTAACCCACTATTGAAGTTTCTGTTATAGCAGAAGCATGATGGGCACTTGGGTCATTCAATGTTGAGTGCATGAATGATTAGCTATAATGTAAATGGGAGATTGTTAGAGTACGTGCCCTAGAGCCAATCAATTATTGTAGAATTGACTCTTTGTAATAATGTTCATTGATCAATAAAAGGCATTTTATACTATATCGCGTAAATCATCATTGTATGTATTGATATATGTCCTTAGAATGGTAGAACCGTGACGAGGGTATCAAGTGTTTCAAATCTTGATAGTGAGAACCCTATGAGCACATATGATGGCCATTCTAGAAATGTCCGTAGCCCAAGTATTGTTTTGAAGTAAGGGCACAGATAATACGGTAAGGCTATCATAGTGTTGAACAACCCTGTCAAAAGGCAGTGAATGATCTCACTTGTCAAGGTTGTTTGGTGAAAACCTGGTGCAACACATGGATGCTTGCTGTAGGTAAGTTCACTAGACGGACCCACCAAAGGATTCTATATGGATGGTAATCACAGTGTCTATGGAACAAATCCTCTAACGAATGGTGGTGCATGTGATCCTTAGACTTGAGATCACCGGAGTACCTTGTGCACCGATTGGTGTAGTTTGACACTAGCCTAACACAATTCTTTTCAGAGCTGTCAATACGGTAGTGATTGGCTACATCAAGGAGTGTATCAAGACTATGGTGGATAGACAGAGGATTCATCACTCCTGGGTACAGAAGAAGTTATCTCACAGTGCAATTTAGTAAATGGTAATGACACTAAAACTGTGGCCACAATGGGATTGAGTTGTTGCTCTATCCAGTTTACAATACAAGTCATTGATCCAGTAACTGAATACACAATATCGAGAGTAACCGAAGGTTGACACTATTTCTATGCCTTGGTCTCGTCAAGATAACAGATGATGAAAGGATCGTATTGTACGGTAACCATATCGTTGACAGGTAGCTACTTTGCTGAATCCGAATCTATCGGCTAGCCATGATGCCTTACTAAGGGCCAATCTTGGTCTGTGTATTACTGAGACGATTAATTGGTGTTAATCGCGATACTATACACTACCGGTATGATAAGGAGCCTATGGGTCACACACATAGAAGATAATTTAAGACTCAGGAAGAAAGAAGGGTGTTTTTGTCTTTTTAGGTGAAAGGGTATTTTGGTAATTTCACAGTGCAATAAAATTTCATGAACTTTATTTAATTTGTTAAACAAAAAAATTAAATAAGTGAGATTACGTTTAGATATGTGTTTGCATATATTTAAATAGGTTATCATTATTGTTAAATGTTAATATATTAAATATATATATTAATTGATTTTAATTGAGATAGTGATAAACTAAAGTTAAAATATCTAATTGGGAGTGTTTGGAAACAAGGGGTGTTTGGATTGCTGCCCAAGCCTATTCCATAAGGGAATAGGGCAATTAAACTTGCACTATAAAAGAAATTGAGAGAAAATGATTCATTCATTTTTCAAAGAAAAACTACAGCCCCTTATCTCACTCTCTCACGCCAGACTTTGTTTTTGATTGAAAACCAAATACATTTCATTTCTTCTTTGTTCTTAAGACTAAAGAGGATCTAGCAAATCCGTCTTTACTTCCTTGCGATTATCTTCGTGTGGACTACATTGGCTCGATCCTACACTTGGGTCGGTAGCAAAATACGTTTAGAGACAAAGTTGAAGGAGCCTCCAAACGTGCATATGATTTCTTAAACTCTAAACTAATTTCTGCAGATTCTTATTTTGATATAAACTGTAAATTTTTACCCTGATCTTGGTTCTATGGAACGATCCGTGTTGTTATTAATCTTTTTTTTTCCGCTGCGTAACTGGATCGTTTCCTAACAGCTCTTTGTATAAACTCAGTATTGATTATACATAAAAGAAAATAGTCAACAACTGGTCCTTGATTCACTCATAATTGAGATCCATTATCGGTGGCTAAAAAATTGAGTAAAACAGGGTATTGGGCCTATACGGCTTTCTGCTCGTTTTGTCATAAGGTTTTCGATGAGATCAACCCTACCATTTTCCAAAACTCAGTATTGATTATACAGAATAGAAAATGCTCAGAAACTAGTGCTCAATTCACCCACAATCAAGATCCATTATCGGTTGCTGAAAAACTAATTAAAACAATGTGTTGGGCCTATACGGCTTTTGGCTCGTTTTGTCATCAGGTTTTTGAAAAGATCGACCCTGCTGTTTGCCTAACTTCGTATTGAATACATGGAAAAGAAAACATTCAAAAACTAGTCCTCGATTCACCCACAATCGAGATCCATTGTCTACAGCTAAAAAGCTTAGTAAAACGGGGTATCGGGCCTATGCGGCTTTCTGTTACTTTTGTCATCAGGTTTTTGATGAGGTCAACCCTGTTGTTCTCCTAAAGTTAGTATTGATTAGACGAAAAATAAAATGCTCAAAAACTAGTGTTCGACTCACCCACAATCGAGATCCATTATCAATTGCCGAAAAACTAAGTAAAGCGGGGTATCGGGCCTATGCAGCTTTCTGCTCATTCTGCCATTAAGTTATTAATGAGATTGACCCTACTATTTGAAAAAAACTTAGTATTGATTATGCAGAAAAGAAAACACTCAAAAACTTGCCCTCGATTCACCCACAATCGACATCTATTGTCGGTGGGTGAAAAATTGAGTAAAACGACGTATCGGGCCTATGCGGCTTTCTGCTCGTTTTGTGATCAGGTTTTCAATGAGATTGACCCTGCATTTTGCATAAACTTAGTATTGATTATAAAAAATAGAAAATTCTCAAAAAACAACTGCTCGATTCACCTGCAATCGACATCCATTACCGATGGCCGAAAAAAATTAGTAAAATGGGGTATCAGGCCTATGCGGCTTTCTGCTCGTTCTGTCATCAAGTATTTTAAGAGATTGACCCTTATATTTTCCTAAAATCAGTATTGATTATATGGAAAAAAAATGCTTAAACACGAGTGCTCGATTCACCCACAATAGAGATCCATTGTAAGTGGCTGAAAAACTAAGTAAAATGTGGTATCAGGCCCATGCAACGTTTTGCTCGTTTTGTCATCAAGTTTCGAACAAGATCAACCCTGCTTGTTGTATAAACTCAGTATTGATTATTTGGAAAAGAAACCACTAAAAAACTAGTGTTCGATTTACCCACAATCGAGATCCATTATCGGTGGCTGAAAAACTAAGTAAAATGAGGTATTGGGCCTATTCGACTTTCTGCTCGTTTTGTCATCATGTTTTTGGTGAGATCAACACTTCTATTTTCCCAAACTCAGTATTGATTATACGAAAAAGAAAACGCTAAAAAAAACAGTGCTTGATTCACCCACAATCCAGATCCATTGTTGGCGGCTGAAAAACTAAGTGAAACGGG